GTGAAAAAAACGCGTCCTGACAGGTCCTGCACGGCGCCGTGATGGGCGCCCCTGCCACGCCCGCCGGCGACGACAGCGCGCGAGGTGCTGGAAGAATCGGCGTCACAACAACATACTGATACTATGCGTGTGTGTGTGCGTGCGTGTGTGCGTGCGTGTGTGTGTGCGTGTGTGTGTGTGTGTGTGTGCGTGCGTGTGTGTGTGTGTGTGTGTTTGTGTGTGTGTGTCGCCCCCCCAGGGGCGACGCGCGCACCGAGAAATCTCATAGTACATGCTGCGAGGCGGGCACTGTCTGGACACCCCGCTGAGGAAACGATATTCTACAAGTTGGATATGCGATATGTCCGGGTCGGACGCAAGCTTCCAAGGAGAACATATAGTTCTAGTATGTCCTTGTGCGCCCTAAAGAATCAGAAGAAAATCATTGCACACACATAAATAAGCTCCCGGAGGTCCGCGCGGATTTCGTGGGTCGGCGCCGGCGTCCCCCCCCCCAGACATCCGACGCTGCGGTGTGCTCAGCACGTGGCTTCAGAGGTTCCGACCCCTTCCCCAGGGGTACACGCTGGTCGTTGAAAACAGGCATGTTTGGATGCCCAGACCCCAAGCTACTTCTACTGCCTGCATTCAAGCATTGGCGAAGCGTCCCGGCTTGCCTATACGCCCACAAACATGTTTAAAGAAGTTCTTCTGGTCTGCACGAAATGTTTTGAGAGCATTTCTGGTCGAGATTGTTTTGTTTCAACGCAGTCGGCTTATGTTCAGTGAGCGCTGTTTTTGTTATTCGAACGTGTTTGGGGTCAGAGAACATGTCGTGGTAATTTGGCCTTCAGGAATGTCGGGATGGTCGGCCCCTGCTCAGATCTTATTTCAAGACTTGGCATGTTGTTGCTGCGTGTTGCTGTTCTCTGAGAGGGCTTGAGCCCCATCTGCTTTATCCGCCTTCCGACGTCATGGTTTTGCCGACCTCTTCCGACCGTCGTGTCGTCTGTCGTCCTGGAGCCGTTTCTGATGGCCACGACGCCCAGACGGACCCGCCATACAAACATCTCCAGAGATCTGGGCCTGGCCGGCGCCTTTTGGCTCCGCCCCTGGCGCGCTCCGCGGTGCTCCAGGGAGGGTGGGGGCCGGGGGCCGCCGCCGATTCGCGGCATCGGCGAGGACCCCCGTCCTGGCATCACCCGGCCGGGTGCGTGTTTTCTTGGCGAGGACCACCGAGGAGCATTTTTGGCTCACCGTGAGACGAACACATCGCGCACGGCGCCGAGAAGTGCACGGGAAATGGCTGTCCGGGCGATGGCGAGCCGGAGGTTCGTGCGTTTGCTGGTGGTTGCCCCTCCGCCCCGGGTTATTGAATACCAGATCTGGTCGTCCGCGACCGACGAGGTGCGTCTCTGCCGCTTGTCCCTCCAAGTCAGGTATCTGTCGCGACCGATCTACTGTAACGTCGGCCGCGACCGATTTTTGTGGAGTCGGCCACGATCGGTCGTGGCCAATTCGGAGTGCCGAGGGGTCCCAACGGGTCGCGACCGAGAGGAACAACCTGGTATCCGCTGATCTGGGCAGGGAGGGGGGCCGCAGCGCCGATCCGCTGAAATCGCGCGGACGGGATTGTGTGTTCGTGCCGGCGATTTCTGGCTCCTCCACAGGTCGGATGTGACTAGACGTGCCCTTGGCCCAAGGTGCCCCCAGCTTTTCGCTTCATTTTTGAGCCCCTTGGGCCCTCGGGGCCTCGTGAGGGGTGCCCTGGAGACCGTCTGGCCCACCCCGAGAATCCTGGGGGTACCTTGGGCCAGGGGTACTTCTAGCAACATCCGAACAGGCGCGAAGATACGGCGCCTGCGGCTGCTGCTCGGCACGCGGCTGTGCGTGGCGCGGCGGGGCAAGTGGTACAACGAGCTGGCGAAGGATCGCACGAGCTGACAGCTACTTGTAGTATTAAGTCGGGCTTGTCAGAACTATTCAAGAGTAGTCAAAACATAGCCTGGGGGTTCTTCGACTTTTTTTTAGTTTATTATGATATATGTTTTGACTATTTGTTTTTCCGTCCAAAATCCGACTGTAGGAGGACATGCCCGACTTAAGAAGTGATACCCATTTTTATGCGCCCTCCAGCTTTCTCAGGGAGGTATCTTCGGGAGGGGTTGGGCGTGTGTTGTCGAATGCGGGTGCGGGAGACCCCCCCAGAGGCCCGACAACTCGCGCCCATAGCTATGGCGCCTGCATCGCCTTGCCCTCCTCCATTCCTCCCCGTAGGAGGTCGCGACGGCGACGACGAGGACGACCTCGGCCGAGTGCCCCCCCCAGGGGGCCCAAGACGGGCTTCCCAGCGTCGTCGTCGTCTTCCTAGTCGTCGTGCCCGCCGTCGTCGTCACTATCGTCGTCGTCGACGTCGCCGTCGTCGTCGCTATCGTCGTCGTGATCGTCGTCGTCGTCGTCGTGATCGTCGTCGTCGTCGTCGTCGCCGCGGTCGTCGTCGTCGTCGTCGTCGTCGTGGTCGTCGTCGTCGTCGTCGTCGTCGTCGTCGTCGTCGCCGCGGTCGTCGTCGTCGTCGTGGTGGTCGTCGTCGTCGTCGTCATCAGGGCTGGGCCGAAATGCTGTTGTGCTGGACTTCGGCTGTGTTTTGTTCTTCTTTTTTGGCAGGGAGGTACAGGAAGACAGGTAAAGCAAACCGAACAACAAAACGAGACCAAAACGAAAAACAATGTTTAGGCCCAGCCCTGGTCGTCGTCGTCGTCGTCGTCGTCCTCGTCGTCGTCGTCGTGGTGGTCGTCGTCGTCGTGGTCGTCGTCGCCGTCGTCGTCCTCGTCGTCGGTCGTCGTCTTCGCGCGTGCTGCCCTCTCCTCGCAGGAGCTGGCGCGCGCGCAGGGCCCGCTGCCCGCGCTGCGCGAGGCCGCGGCGGGCCTGGCCGAGGGCGCGGAGCCGCCGCTGACCGCGCGCGTGGCGCTGGACCTCACGGCGGAGTCGCAGGGCTCGGCGCCCTCGGAGGACGAGGCCAGGCACCCCCTGGCCTCGGGGGCGAGCGAGGGCGGGGGGCGAGCGAGGGCGGGGGCGAGCGGGGGCGGGGGGAGGTGCGAAGGAGAGGGCCCTCTCAGAGGGCGGCGGGGGCCTTCTCAGAGGCCTCCTCGCCTTGGAGAGGTGCGCTCTGTCTCCGTGGAAGGCTCAGAAAAAAGTTTTCTCAGAATGCCAAGGGGCTTCCGAGCCTTCTGCGATCGGGCCGCGCCTTCGGAGGACGAGGCCAGACTTCAGCTGGCTCGATGCGCCCGAGCTCAATCGCAACACGCACCGTGCTCAAAACGTCCATGGCAATGCGCTGCGTGTGGGCTCGGCACGTGCGGGCCCCCGTTTTCGGGTTGGCGCACCGCGTCAGACCTGCGTACACGGTCTACGTGTGGAGCTCCGTGCCGATACACTACGTGGTGGGTGCTGCGTATCGGGGCAGCTCCTCCTCCTCCCCCTCCTCCTCCTCCTCCTCCTCCATCTCCTCCTCTCCCTCCTCCTCCTCCTCCCCCTCCTCCCCCGTAGCCATTTTGGCTCAAGATGCATAGTTCCTCAGCGGAACAAGTGGATACCGCTAGTCCGCGGCAGACAAGACCCTTGGTGGTCTGGCAGAGATTGCCCTTCTCACCGACGCTCGCGCCCACGGGTAAACGGAGGCTTTTCCCGTTCCTGTGCGAGCGAACGTCCCTGTTGCAATGGGACTTCCCGACGCCGCTGCTCTGGCCTGCTGCGCCCAGGAGATCGAAGACATGCCCACCTTCCCTGATGATGAACGTGCTGAAGGCCATCGTGTCCAAGGCTCGCCAGAGCCCAAGTATCCGCGTACCGAGGAGGGCAAGGGTTCCTCAGGCAGTGGCACAGGTGTTGCCCGCCTTGCCTCCCGTGCTGCCGCTGTGGGTGCCGCGCTCGTCTTTGGGCGTTCGGATCTGCAGGCTCATTCTTCTGATCTGCCTGCTGTTGGTGCTCCTGTGCATGCTGGTGGCGCCTCTGCAGGTCCTGGCCCTGCTCGTGCACCCGCTGGGCAAGCTACCCATGACTACCCCGACGAGTATATTAAAGCCGTCATCGCCGATGGTGTCGCCTCCCAGTTCAGCGAGCTTCGCACGGAGCTCGAAGGTCTTGTCGCCTCTACAGTGGGAGACACTGTCAAATCCAGCAATGCCTCCATCCTGCGGGCTTTGGCTGTGCTGCAGAAGCAGTTGGAAGACCAGCCGTCAGAGCTGGACCAGAAGGCGATGGGTATCTTCCGACCGCAGCTTGACGAACTGTCTAGGAAGATGCAGCGACAGATTGATGATGTCACAGGGAAGGCTGCTACTCTCAACATCGAGCTGGACTCACACACAGAGCAGTTGCAACAATTACGTGCCGAGATTGCCGAGCTACGTGAAGGGCTTCACGTGGCCAAGCGCCAGGAGGCGGCCCCCTCGCCGCCCGCCAGCTTCGACCGCCAGACGGACCCTGCCGTGGTGGTGGCGATGTGTACCAAGATGGTTGGATTGTCGCAGGTTCGCGAAGTGATGGCGCCGTTCCTCTCTGAGCTTGGATTCGAAGCAGACCAGTACACCCTTTCTTGCCCTTCGCCGACTCCTGCTCGCAGGTTTCTCATCAAGTTCAACGGGGCCACTGGCCTCGCCTCTCGGAAGGTCTCTTAGGTGCTCAGCAACCTTCGCCGCAATGATCAGTGCAGAGTGTTCAACGTGGAGGCTACGGGTGCCGCCGCCGACGGGCGCCTTCACTTGGGGCCCGATAAATCCCCTCGCCAGGTCAAGACGGAGATGGCTCTTCGTCGGATCCGCGGTGCGTGTGCAGACAAGTTTGGTGGACGGTGGTCTGTTGATCGTGAACGAGGCATGCTCAAGAGCGGTTGGACCAACGTACTTAAGATCCAGGCGAACCTTGAGGACGCTCCGTATAGCGTGCAGTTCAACCAAGAGGGCACCTTGGACCTCAAGCTCACGCGTGCCGACATCCAAGCAGTGGTGGATGAGCTTACGGCCCCTCCGCCGCCTACGACGTGGTGTGTTTGATGGCTTCATGCAGCTCTTTCACACTCCGACTCGCGGGGATGGGAATGAATCGTTGCGAATCATTACTTGGAATGCTCGAGCTCTGTTACAGTATCGAGGAGCGAAGAGTAGACTCAAGTCGTCATATTTGAAGAAGTTTCACCTTCCTGGGTCCATCCTGGCACTACAGGAAGTTCATCAAGATCGTCTGCAACTCGAAGACTATCTATGTCGTCTTCATCGTGATGCTGTGGTCCACGCCTCGTTTTGCCCTGCCGATGATGGGGGATCGGCTGCGGGAGGGGTCGCCACTATCTGACCGAAGCTCGCGTCTGAGCTCGATGTTACCAGCAATGCTTCGGCCGTCGTGCAAGGTAGGGTCCTTCGGGTCGACGTTGTCGGGCAGGGGTTTCAGCTGGCGCACTTCAATATACATAACCATGGTCTCAACGCGAGGCAGATTGACGAGATATGTGCGGAGATCGACGCTGCGCGGGTGCGAGCAGCCGCTGATCCTCTACACTTCTTGGTGATCGTGCAGGGCGACCTCAACTTTGGCCCTGACGGGGCGTTGCTCCTCCAGCGGCCTGAACCAGCTCGTGCTACTGATCCTCGGAGTCATCGTGCTATGGCTGCTCGGTGGCTGAGGACATTGGGATTATTTCTTGAGATTTCTTCGGAGTCACCGACGCACTACACTAAGGACACCAACTCGTTCAGCTGCCTCGATCGGTTCTTCTGCTCGGTGCCTGGATGGATGATGTGCCAGATGTGTGCGGAATCCTCCACCATCGGAGAACCCGAAGAATTATCTCGCTCGATGATATCGGACCACGCTGCTCTGCTCACGGTGCTTCGTCAACGTCACGCGCGCCCCAGGTCTGAGCAGCCAGTTCCTCGCCATGTCTTCGAGAGTCCTCTCTTTCGGCAGCGTATTGAGGGCATGTTCAAAGATGGCGCTGGCGCTGAGACGTTGTGCTCTGCGGCGGTCTACCAGGAACACTTCAAGGACATGTTGAAAGAGGCTGCCCGTGAAGTTCGTGACTGGATGTTTGTCCACCATCCTTCTGGCGACGAAACAGCGTTGCTTGTTGCCCGAGGATGTGCGCGAGCAGTATGGCGTCAAGATCTTCCGCTCGCCCGTCGGATGGTGGCGACCTCGGCTACCGCAGCTGGCCTGCTCGACGTTGGAGGCTCACAAGTTGTCCTTCGTCATCCTGAATCGTTCCACATGTGGACGGATGGAGTTCATATGAGGCTCCTGGAAAAAGAGATTCGTGCTGCTGCTGACGCTGCTGCAGGCTCTCGTTCGACCCGTCCACCCTCTTCGTTTCGTCGTCGGCAGTTGTTGGAGCGCCAAGCTGCGATCTGGGCCCCATTCTCACGGAGGTTGGTTCTTCGTGCTGTTCGGGACGGCCCTCGGTTAGCTGAACCTCCAGAGGAAAGGGTTGCTGCTCTCACGGAATATTGGCGCCCTGTCTTCTCGCGCTCGGAAGTCGATCTCGAAGCTGCTCAGACTTATATCGAACAGCAGTGTCCCTCACCTGTGCTCCCTGACGTCCCACCACCCTCGGAAGCGACGATTCGAAATATTGTTGCCCGTGCTCGCCACTCTGCCCCTGGGGTTGACGGACTGCCGTACGCTGCATGGGCAGCTGCCGATTGCTGCCTGGAAGTATTATGTCTTATGATGGACTGGATCTTGCTAAGGGATCGGAACACGAAGACCTGGCCTCTGGAGGCTGCATCCGCACTGCCGATAAGATCAGGGTCCCCGGGCTCCGCAACACCGACCTGAAAATACTGACGTCTGCCGTGAACCGATCACTTAAAGGTGTCGTCGACTCCCTCGTCTCTCAGTCGCAGCGCGGCTTCGTTCAGGGCCGAAACTTCGGGTACAACATCTTAGAGCTAGACGGCTTCAGTCGTATCGCTGGGGCCCACCCGCTGGCCCCGTCTAAGATGCCGCTGCTGGTCTCGTTCGATTTCGGCCAGGCCTTCCCGAGCCTCTCCCAGGAGTTCATGATGCTTTTCCTCGCTCACCTTCGCCTGCCATCCCCAGTGATGCACTTCCTGGCCTGGTTGTACTCTGCGATTGAAGGGGTCGTGGCCCACGGTGGCCTGCTCCACTCGGTGTATTGGCTGAGGTCGGGGATCATACAGGGCTGCGGCCTGTCTGGGACCCTGTGCGCATTGAGCACGGCCCCGTTCCTGATTGACTTGGAATGTTCCCTTGAGGATTCTGGACTTGGCCTGGCGAGGGCCTGCGCGGACGATATTGGGGCTGTCTTGTTCGAGGCTCGCGGGCTCCAGGTGCTCTACCGTGTGATGACTACTACAAGGCTCTTAACTGGGCTTTGCCTCAAGCTCAGTAAATGCAAGGTCGCCCCGCTGCGCGCGACGTTCAGCCCTGACCTTCTGGAAAGGACACGTGCTCTCCTCGGTCGGCTGGCTCCCGAATGGCAAGCTTTCGAGGTCGTGGCCCACCTGATGTACCTTGGCGTTCTCTTGGGGCCCGACGTCACGATCCAGATGCAGTGGGGCGCTGCTCGGATGAAACTAAAGTTGCGTGCTAGGCTCCTTGGTTCCGGCTCCGCTCCCTTGGGGATCAACGGCGTGCTCTACCGATCGAGAGCCCTCCCTGTCTTGTCCTACCTGGCCCAGTTCTTCCCTCTGCCTCCCAGGATGGCCGCTTTCGAGCTCTCTGTGCTTACCCAGGTATTCCGTGCTCCTATGGGTACTCTGCCTGCCTCTGGCTGGGCCCAGCTCTCTGCGTGGGGTGGCCCCAAGATCCCGCTTGTGCGGCATACGTGTGCTGCTGCGCTGTCCCGAGCTGCCACCATTACGTTCAGCGAGCATACCCACATACGCTCTAACATCACGAACACTACTCTTTCATGGAATGATGATCTACTCCAGGGACGGTTTGATGATGCTTCCCTCGCGACCAGTTGCACTCGGGTGGATTGGATGTGTGACGCTGGACGGCACTGGCGGCTGCCGCCCATCCTGCAGACCTATTCGTGGCTGCGTCAGGGCTCTGCGTGTGCTGGCTACCCCTCAGACATCCTACGCTGTTGTACGTCTGCGATTGCTTCGGAACTCTTGGTCACGGGACGTAAGCTCAACTTGCAGAGAGCAGCCACCACAGCACTATACGAGCAGTTCGTCACACCGTTCCCGTTGAGTGCGACTTTCGAGACCAGGCTGGCACGCTACTTTACCATGTATGAACCCTTTTTACATCGGGTGCCGTGGGAGGCGATTCAGATGCTGCTGCAGCTGCTGCCCACGAGCTGGATCTTCCCTGTTATTAAGACGTGGGCCTCCGCTTGGCTCACAAGTTATCGAATAAGTTACCCTTCGGGGAAACGGCGCTGTATCTTTGGGTGTAACACTTGTGCAGACAGGCAGTGCCACTACATGCGATGCCACCGTCTGGTTCGTGCTGTCGGTCGCGCACTGGGTCGCTCACTTCCTGCCTTTCTTCATGAGCGTCTGTGCCTGTCGGCGCCGTGTGTGGAACGGGCGGAGGAGCTGGTGGTGATGTACACCACGTATCACACTGTTCGTTATCGCAATTGGGTTACCCCTACTGTTCTGAACTCTGCGACTCGGGCTGCTGTCAGAACACTTCGAATGGCGTCGCCAGCAGACCAGCTAGAAAAGAAATGGCAGCCACCGCCGTCCTTCATACCGACACCGCGCACGGTCACCGACGATCTTTCCACCTCCTCGGCAGACGACCCCGTCGTCGACCCTGCCGTCCTGGCTGCTGGTGATGGTGAGGACGACGCCGACGCTGTCGCAGGCTTGGCCCCAGGGCGGTCACCATGCTTGACACCACGGCTTGTTCCTACGATGCCAAGCCCTGGCACTCCGTCGACGCTTATCGCCACGCCCGAACGTGTTGGACATAGCGACGATTGCGACGACAATGTAACTGGCAGAACGCAAAGTCCTGTGCACGGGTGCTCCTCGAGCCCGTTGCTGCAGGCTCAGTCGTCGCCAATGTCGCTGGATGTAACTGGCAGAACGCAAAGTCCTGTGCACGGGTGCTCCTCGAGCCCGTTGCTGCAGGCTCAGTCGTCGCCAATGTCGCTGGATGTAACTGGCAGAACGCAAAGTCCTGTGCACGGGTGCTCCTTGAGCACGTTGCTGCAGGCTCAGTCGTCGCCAATGTCGCTGGATGTTACTGGCAGAACGCAAAGTCCTGTGCACGGGTGCTCCTCGAGCCCGTTGCTGCAGGCTCAGTCGTCGCCAATGTTGCTGGATGTTGGTGGAAATTCTGGCCTCTGCGCATGAAGAGTGAATTGTGAGCGCGGCGTCGAAAATAATCTGCCGCCCGCCTGCTCGTTCGGTCCCCACATCCGATGCGTGGCCGTCCGCCGCGCGCGTGGCTCCCTGGTTGTCCTCTCGACCCGCCCTCTTGCTCCTGCTGATGTCCCTCCTGCTGCTGCCACTCACCCTCGCTCTCGCGCGCCGCCTCCCGCGGCCCTGATTGAAACACCGCTCTCCGTTCACATGCACGTGAAGTTCGACATAGGTGGGCGCCCGCCGCCCGCCCCGCCTCCTGCGGCCGCTGCCCCTGCTTCTCTTTCCTCCGCTCTGGTCGCTGGCGAAGCCAGTCGCTCGAGTGTGGAGAGGTGTGCTCAGCTGTTGAGCTGAGCGCAGTGGTCGGTCGGATGGACCTCTCCTCTACGCTGCGCTCCTCCCCCTCCTCCTCCTGCTCCTCCTCCTCCTCCTCCTCCTCCTCCTCCTCCTCCTGAGGGCGAGACGCCCTTGACCTCTTCCTTCCGAGCCTTCCGGGCGGCAGGTGCCGCCGCTCCGGCGGCACCTGCCGCGCGAGAGGGTGCGGAGGGTGGAGGCCGAGGGCCTGCTCGCACGGAAGCAGCGACGCGGGGGTCTCCGCCGGGCCCCGGGCTCGTCAACGAGCGGCACGTGAAGCAGTGGCGAAGTGTCCGGGCTCGCCTATAGCCCTACCAAACTATGTCCTAAGAGCCTTTTGTGGCTTCCACGAAATGATCTTCGAACATTTTTGGCTGGGGCTGTCCTGGTTCTTAGAACATCTTTGGGTTCCAAGAGCATTTCGTGGTAGAACTATAGGCATGCCGGGACGTTCGGTCCCTGCTCAAAGGATGGAACGCCGGTCGCTTTGTAGGGGCCCCGACTTCTGGGGGACCAGGTTGTGGCAGAAGCCGCGACGGGGTCTGGGGCCCGTGCCCGGGGCTCACCCCGGGGGTCTTCTCGCCCTGTTCCGGGCCTCCGGGACCTCCACGCCTCGCTGCGTCTCGAGGCCTGGCGCAGAAGGATGCGGTACAGGGTGCTGCGGTCGTCAGTTTTCGCGACGTTGCGTTTTTGCTCGCGACGTGGGATCTGAGGGGGGGCGGTGCGGCCCGGTCGGTATCGGTATCGATACGTTCTTGCCAGCCCTGGCCCGATCCGATTGCGGTGCTGGGACAATGCGAGCGCGGCGCTGTTCCGCATCCGGGGCGCGGCCGATCCGAGCCGATTCCGACCCAGGCATGGCCCGCTTCGACCCCATCGATATCGATATCGGGATCGATGCTTGTCAGCCACGATCGATCCCGCTCCGATGTTCCGACGATCCGAGCGCGGCGCTCGCGCCGATCCGATTCGATTCCGACTTCGCGCCGGCCCAGAACTCCGACGCGGGCAGGCCATCTGGACTTCCTCCCTGGGGCCGGCTTCTTATCCTGAGTCGTTCCTTGACGGTCCTGGGGAGCCTGGCGAGGGCTCTCAGGGGCCGAACACGTCTAAACAAATCCCGCCGTGATGTTTCCCATCGATCGGTCTAGACACATCCCGCCGAGAGGTTTCCCATCGATCGGGAGGTTGGGGGATGCAGCCGCATCCGACGCGTCGTGGCAGGCGGTGTTTTTTTATACACTCAGGCAAGCGCAACTGCATCGTAGTCCCCCCTCTCTCCGCCGACGCCGCTGCAAGCAGCGCCGGCGAGCCCCGAGTTGCACGAAATCCACGTTGCCCGTCGGGCCTCACCGCGTCCCACCCCGCGGCCCCTCTCCATGTACGCAAGCCTTCGGGGGGGTGCGAGGATAAGGAGGGAGGAGGTGGGAGAAGGAGGAAAAGGAGGAGGAGGAGGAGGAGGAGGAGGAGGAGGGGGGAGGAGGAGGAGGAGGAGGAGGGAGGAGGAGGAGGAGGAGGAGGAGGAGGAGGAGGAGGAGGAGGAGGAGGAGAGGAGGAGGGGGGGAGGAGGAGAGGGAGGAGGAGGGGGGGGAATGGGAGGATGGGGAGGGGGAGGAGGTGGAATGGGGAGGATGGATGGGATGGAAAAGGGTAGGAGGAGGAGGAGGAGGAGGAGGGAGGAGGAAGGAGAGGAGGAGAGAGAGGAGGAGGAGGAGGGAGGAGGAGGAGGAGGAGGAGGAGGAGGAGGAGGAGGAGGAGGAGGAGGAGGGGCGATGGAGGGGCGATGGAGGGTGGAGGACGAGGACGCGGACGAGGACGAGGAGGAGGAGGAGGAGGAATCTAAGGGAACCTGCCTCCACTGCCGATCCGGCCGCACCTTCCGGCCCCAGTTCGGGTGTTGCTACAAGTGCCCCTTGCCCAAGGTGCCCCTCATCGTTTCGTTCCGTTTTGGAGCCCCTTGGGGCCCTCCGGGCCTCGTGAGGTGTGCCCCGGAGGCCGCTTGCGCCACCCCGCGAATCCTGGGTGTACCTTCGGCCAGGGGCACTTCTAGCAACACCCGACCAGTGTGCCGCCAACCCCCTCCTCCTCCCCCTCCTCCTCCTCGTCCTCCTCCTGGTCCTGCTCCTCCTCCTGCTCATCCTCCTCCTTTTCCTCCTTCTCCTCCTCCTCCCCCTCCTCCTCCCCGTCCTCCTCATCCTCCTCCTCCTCCTCCTCCTCCTGCTCCTGCCTCATCCTCCTCCTCTCTCCTCCTCCCTCCTCCTCCTCCTCCTCCCCCTCCTCCTCCCCCTCCTCCTCCTCCTTCTCCTCCTCCTCCTCCTCCCTGGCGTTGAGGCTGGCGCGCCCCTGCCCGAGCTCCCCGCCGACCTGCGCCTGGAGTTGGCCGGCCGGGCCCGCACGCTGGCGCGCGCGGCGGCCGCGGCGGCCGCCCGCGGCGGCAGGTCGGGAGCGGAGGGAGAGCGCACACACCAGCGTGAAGTCGGGCCTGTCCCTCCACAGGGGGGAGAGTCAATTTTTGAATAGAAAGAGTTCGTCTGGGGACGATTGTTTGACAATTTTTGAACATCCTGGGGGCATTCTGGGAGTATCTCATATTTTTCGTCCGAAGTCCACCTGTAGGGGGGCACGCCCGACCTAACACCAGAGGAGGAAAAGGTAGCCGTAATTACACGTCGTCGGTCGCTGGAAGCAGATCCCAATCTGCTTCCAGCGCCTTCTTACCTCCCGTGACGTCCCCGTCCGTCGTGTCTCCCGCGCCTCCTGGGGACCCCCCCCCCCTGTTGGTTGGTGGCGCCACCTTTGAAACACCGGCCCCCTGCGTCCCTATACTTACTTCTCGGGGCAGGGCCGGGGACGGCTTCGGGTCCACGACCAAGTCCGCCGTGAGCAGCAGCAGCAGAGCGCACACCAGCGGAGGGAGAGGTAGCCATGCACGCTGGCCGCTGAAAGAAGATCCCAATCTGCTTCCGGCGCCTTCCAGCCACGCGCAGAGGGGGTGGGGGGAGGGGGGAGGGCTTCTTAGAAGCACCCCTACGTCTTAGAAGGCGTGGGCCTTATCTATAGATGTAAGGCCGGCGCCTTCTAAGAAGCAGCCTCCTTCTAAGAGGCCCTCCCCCCTCCCTCCCCCTACCCCCTTGTGCGCGCCGCCAAGCCTTCCTACTTCAAGGGTGGGATCTGCCCTCGCCATGTGTTGTTCCCAACCCTCCTGCGTTGGGTACTCGTTTTGAATAGAGCACTGTGGTCTCCACCTTCCTCCTCCCGCCTCCCGCCTCCTCTCTCCCCTCTTCGTCTCGCTTGCCTTTTACCTACCTAGCTTGCCGCTCGCCATCCCTGGGGGGCGGCGATCTGTGAAACTGTCGCCAGTTTCGAGGGTTGCTGGGGTGGCCAGCGGGGTGGCGCCCCACGGGGACTCAGATTATACCTCGCCGTCTCTGGGGGGCTGCGATCTGTGAAACTGTCGCCAGTTTCGAGGGTTGCTGGGGTGGCCAGCGGAGTGACGCCCCACGGGGACTCAGATTAGACCTCGCCATCCGTGGGGGGCTGCGATCTGTGAAACTGTCGCCACTTTCGAGGGCTGCTGGGGTGGCCAGCGGAGTGACGCCCTACGGGGACTCAGATTAGACCCCGCCATCCCTGGGGGGCTGCGATCTGCGAAATTGTCGCTAGTTTCGAGGGCGGCAGGGGTGGCCAGCGGAGTGACGCCCCACGGGGACTCAGATTAGACCTCGCCATCCCTGGGGGGCTGCGATCTGCGAAACTGTCGCCGCTTTCGAGGGCTGCTGGGGTGGCCAGCGGAGTGACGCCCTACGGGGACTCAGATTAGACCTCGCCATCCCTGGGGGGCTGCGATCTGTGAAACTGTCGCCACTTTCGAGGGCTGCTGGGGTGGCCAGCGGAGTGACGCCCTACGGGGACTCAGATTAGACCTCGCCATCCCTGGGGGGCTGCGATCTGTGAAACTGTCGCCACTTTCGAAGGCTTCTGGGGTGGCCAGCGGAGTGACGCCCCACGGGGACTTAGATTAGACCTCGCCATCTCTGGGGGGCTGCGATCTGCGAAACTGTCGCCACTTTCGAGGGCTGCTGGGGGCCAGCGGAGTCGCGGATCTGTGACGACTGCAGAGTTCTCAGAGACCTCGCCATCCCTGGGGGGCTGCGATCTGTGAAACTGTCGCCACTTTCGAGGCTGCTGGGGGGCCCAGCGGAGTGACGCCCTACGGGGACTCAGATTAGACCTCGCCATCCCTGGGGGGCTGCGATCTGTGAAACTGTCGCCACTTTCGAGGGCTGCTGGGGGGCCCAGCGGAGTGACGCCCTACGGGGACTCAGATTAGACCTCGCCATCCCTGGGGGGCTGCGATCTGTGAAACTGTCGCCACTTTCGAGGGCTGCTGGGGGGCCCAGCGGAGTGACGCCCTACGGGGATTCAGATTAGACCTCGCCATTCCTGGGGGGCTGCGATCTGTGAAACTGTCGCCACTTTCGAGGGCTGCTGGGGGGCCCAGCGGAGTGACGCCCTACGGGGATTCAGATTAGACCTCGCCATCCCTGGGGGGCTGCGATCTGTGAAACTGTCGCCACTTTCGAAGGCTGCGTGGGGGGCCCAGCGGAGTGACGCCCTACGGGGATACAGATTAGACCTCGCCATCCCTGGGGGGCTGCGATCTGTGAAACTGTCGCCACTTTCGAAGGCTGCTTGGGGGGCCAGCGGAGTGACGTCCTACGGGGACTCAGATTAGACCTCGCCATCCCTGGGGGGCTGCGATCTGTGAAACTGTCGCCACTTTCGAGGGCTGCTGTGGGGCCCACGAAACTGTCGCCCCTTTCGAAACCTGCTGCGGGGTCCAGCATAGTGACGTCCTACGCGGACGCAGATTGGACCCGTCATTCTACTTCGATTATCCCGCATTTGCGATCGACTGTATGTGTGCGAGGAACTAGACATGGAGTGGTCTGGCACTGACTGACGTCAAATCGTTGTGTGCCAGTGTCTCCTGGGGTGTTGCCTGATGTGCATGCAGCTCGTCGGCGCTGCGACTCGAGCTGGCGGTCGCCCTTCGGGCCCGCGGGAACATCTTCTGAGACAAGTGGACGCCGCCGCCTTACTTGCAGGCAGCGCATTGCATTCGCGGGCAGCAGCATGGCAGACCGCAGTGAGATCCTCAGTCGGGTGGTGTTGCCAAGCCTGGTGGAGACGCGCGTGATCGACCTGAAGTCCCAATCGCGCGTGCACTGTACCTGCGTGGCGTTCAGGCACGCGCGTGATGCTGCTCGCTCCGCGTTCAACCAGTACGTCGCCAGTGCAACTTTGGACGATGGACAACCGATTGATGATGCGCGACCCCGGCCTTGAGTTTCTTTCCCGCGGGCCGCCCGCAGACCTGGCGGCGCGCCTGCGAGCGTTCAGCTCCCGCGCTGAAATGTGCGGGAAGGAGGCGGAGAAGCTAGCGGGCGAGCTACGCTTCGCTCGTTCCTTGCACTCTAAACAAGTTTTATCATGTGGAACTCTGCGACGACATGGCGCAGGCAGCGCTGCGGGTTTAGCTCGCACTTGAAAAACGCGGCAGACTTCTGTCTCTTCCCGCCACTCTCGTCGTCGTCCTATTCCCCGCCTTACTTTCTCCATGCATGCTGCTGCTTCCGCGATGGCCTTTCGCCCCCCCCGCCCTCCATTCCATCCCTCTCCTACCCCTCGTTCCCGTACCCGTTCTTCTTCGATCCTGGGGCCTCAATCCTCGTTCTTTCGATCGTCGTCCTGTGTATCGTGCAACGCATGCGCATCCCATGTAGCTTGCGCAGCAAATCGCCGCGTCTACGCTGTCGTTGTTCCTGCTAATGTTGGCATAGTCCTCTTGCCATTTGATGCACGTGGGTCGGGTACGTCGCAGGGTAATGTGTTGCTCTGGGAGGGCCTGGGCCCAAGCCGCTTCATCTGCCTGCCTGCTTCGTGTCTTAGCGTACCTCTCCCGACCGGCGTGTATTACCAGTTGCTCAATTTCGCCTTTTTGGGGCCTCCTCCTGGGAAGAACAGGTACCCATAGCTTCTGAGATGCTTACCTGCTTTAGCCTTGACCCCCAGAGGCCATTTTGAGCACCTGGAGAATGTCGAAACTAGACGGTTTTCACGTGTCGGATCCTGGGGGGCGATACTTTGTCGGCATTTCGCAAGCGTGTCGAGCCGACACTGCTTCGATACTTTTCGGGGTGCTCAACATTATTTCTAGGATGTGGTCTGTATGCACGATGGGAACAACATCGACCCATAACCCCTACCACTCGCTCGTGTTCGCCTTTCTGGGCGTCCTTTTGGAGGCCCTCGTCGCAATCGCTGAATGCGCCTCGAGATTCTGGCCAAAGCGCACTCTCGGAAGGGGTCCGGGGAGGTAGCGGTACGGGTATACCTTTTGGTCCCTCCAGGGCGCACACTTACATGGATCCACGTTGGTTTCGAACGCCGCATCGCCGATACATCGGCGAGGCCGCTCGATGTGGAGCCCGATTTTCTCCGCGCCGACGTCGCCGACGCATCGCGGACGTCGCCGATGCATCGCCGAGGCATCGCCGATGCGGCGCGATGCTCCTCCGACCCCATCTACTCCCACCCCATCTAGGAGGCCTCTACTATCACTGGGCTGGTCTCGCAGACCCGGGGGGGGCCGTGTTCCCTCGCGCGGTTGGGCGCGTGCGTCCTTTCCGTGGGCTCCCCGGCAGGGGCCCGCGAGCGTGGGAGCGGCAGCTTCGGGAGACGCCGGCGGCGCAGGCCTCGCCGGGGAAGGGGCCCCCCCGAGGTGGGGCAGGGAGTGGCAGAGGCTTCGGCTCGCCCTGGGTGGAGCGTCTATCTCAGTGTCGTTTTTAAGCCTCGGAGCCCCGGATCATCAGGGGCAACTCGGGTCAGGGCTAACTCGGGTTCGTTGTTTCGGGGATCCAAGCCCGAGTTACCCCGGGCCCGAGCTACCCCGGATATTTCGGGCGTCCAGAGCCCCGAATCATCAGATGTAATTCGGGTCAGGGCTGACTCGGGAATCCAAACCCGAGTTTTTCCCGGCCCGAGTTACCCCGGATAACTCGGGCGCCCAATAACCCATTCCTATCCCCTATCCCCATCCACATCTCGAGCCCGGTTCACCACCTCACTTGGGGAGATGCCCCTCGAAACCAGAATAGAGAGCAGCCTACATCCCTATCCAGGGGGGTGAATCGGCCAGTGGGTCCCAGCCCACGCTGGGGGGGATGGGGATCGGTTAAACGATGCCCAATATCGGCGATCCAGAGGGAGCAGGCCTTCTCAGAAGGCGGGGCTTCTCAGACGCCCTACGGCCTTGTGGGACGTTGTCTGTGTCTTCGGGGAAGGCTTCGACAACTTGTCAGCAGGCCAGCCTTTTGAGAATGCCAGCCCCCTCTCATTTGCCAACCGGGCCTGCCGCCAAGAACAGCGCCCAGTATCGCCGAATACTGTTGAAACCGCGACCAGTACCGCACATGTAGCTCCATGTGGGGGAGATGCACTCTGTCCGCTTTGCCCGCGACTGGGCGCGCTACTGGTCGCCATGGGGACGGCCAACAGACTCCGTGAGCTGCTTCCTAACTGAGGCCCTGTCGTCGCAGTTTTCGTTGCACCAAGCGGTTCCGCCCCGTTTCGGGCCCAGGGGACCGTGGCCACCAAGGAGTGCAATTATACAACGACTTGATGCTGCAATCAAAAAGGGATCCTTGGAGGGAGGGGGTCACCGATGGGAAGGCGTCGGGACCTGTCAGGGGCGCGCGATCACGGAACCCTGTGATGCTGGCGCCACAACTCCGTTGCGCATCCGTCGATCTCGCCCCGTTGCTGGCCCCGTGGCCCTGGCGAGTCGGTCTGGCGGGAGGGTTGCCGCAGGAAGGTCTGTGGCTTTGGGCTCACGCTGTTGGCAGTTTGGTTCGGATGCTGGTTCTCAAGGAATGTGGTCCGAAGGGCACGGGGCCTCTACAGGTTTTCCCCCACTCTCGGGCCCTCCACGGAGCACTCTACGGGGCCGTCAGCATGACAACTCGGGGTGAGTAGCATCCATTTCGATTCGATTCGACATCGGTTCTGGCCCGCCCGATTCGATGTGATGCCGATCTCCCGACGACTGGGTGCGGCCCGATGCTTGCGTGGCACTGTTGTGCATCCTGGAGCATCCGATCCCATTCGATTTCGACTCCGTGACGATGCAGCCCGATTCGACGCACGTTCCGATCCTGCGCAGGCCATGGGCTGGGGCGACGATGGTAGATGGCTGCCGGCGCTGGTGTCGCGCCTGCTGGCGGCTGGCAGCGCCAAGGCGCATTATTATCGCCAGAGCAACCCCACACCCGACTGGGACCGGCCAGGGTAGCTCTCCCAGCAAACGGTCGGGAACTGATGCTTTGTGTGTCGCTCCGCCAGTTCCTGCCCACCACGCTTCGGCGCGACACGCGGACCACGTCCCAGCCCTCGAGCTTCAACGTCCCGAGCATTTCCCACCCCCCCGTCGGTTGATTACACATCGACCATCGCCCTGCTCCCTTCTCCCTCCTCCCTCCTCCCTCCTCCCTCCTCCTCCCTTCCCAACCCTCCGTCCAGCGGAGCGGAGCGACACGCTATCCGCTCGCCGGGCACAGCGTGTGGCGTGGCCAGGGCCGCCGCCGCGACACGCTGAGCACAGGTTCCTGGCCGCCTCCCCCCCCCCCCCGGTGGGGATGGGTGCCTCGGGGCCGGGAGGAAGCGGCACTCGTCCCCCCGTCAGCTCCTCCTCCTCCTCCTCCTTCTCCTCCTCCTCCGCCGCCTCCTTGCCGCCTCCTCCTCCTCCTCCTCCTCCTCCTTCTCCTCCTCCTCCTCGCCGCCCCTCCTCCTCCTCCTCCTCCTCCTCGCTCCTCGTTCTCCTCCTCCTCCTCCTCCTCCTCCTCCTCCTCCTCCTCCTCATCCTCCTCCCCTCGTGAAGGAGAATGGGCATGCCGGCGGGGCCACAGTGTTCACTGGTGCGGGGGGGGGGAGGAGGCCGTGCTTGTCCAGAGAGGCGCCCGTGCTGGAGGTCCGCGCCTCCGACCACGGGCTGCCCGGCTGCAGCGAGGGCGGCCGGAGGACCTACGATTCCTTCGACCTCGCGGAGCTGAACGTCGAGGAGCTGGCGCTGCGGCACTACCTCGGCCCGTGCGGCTTCGCCTACGGCATCCACTGCGAGGGTGCGCTGCTGAGGGACCTCTTCGGCCTGCTCCTCTACCACGAGCTGTTCGACACGTCGGTGCGCGGCGTCTTCCTGTCCGCCTTCCAGGACGCGCCCCTGGACCTCGGCACGGAGGTCTTCTACCCCTCGCGCCGGGTGCCGCTGGAGCGGCGCCTGTCGCAGTTGGCCGCCATGTCGCCCTCGGCAATCTGCGCGGAGGTCGATCCGCCACGAATCTTGGTGTGAATGTTTATAGGTTATAGATGTGTGTGTGTGTTTATGTATGTATGTATGTATGTATGTATGTATGCATGCATGTATGTATGTGCATATCAGTATTAAACTATGTGTGTGTATCTGTATCTATGTATGCTCTGGCGCTGTCCGGAATTTCACCCGGTTGGAGAATCATATGCGTTGTGGGGGAGGGCCGACGTTGGCAATATGTTTGGCTCCGTAGAGGGCCGAAGCACGCGTGTTCCCCGCGTTTCTCTCTGCGAACAGCACCGGCCTCGAGAAATTCATTCCCGCGCCCATGCATGCATACTTATATTATTTTATATTAGAGTATTTCATGTTGTCGTATATTCTATTCTATTCTATTACGTTACATCATGTCATGTTATATGATATTTCATTATGTTACACTTTGTTTTATTAGATCATATTATATTATTTTTATTTTATCATACTATATTATATTATATTATATTATACTATATCATATTATATTATATTATATTAAAATTTAGTATATTATATATTCTTTTTAAATTATATTATGGTATTTATATTGTATTGCATTATAGTATAGTATATTATATTGTATTATATCACATTGTATTATATCATGTTGTAGTATAATATATTTATATTTTATATATATATATATATATATATATATATATATATATATATATGCATGTAGACGCCATGTATACGCATCATGCACAAAGGCACCCCTTCAGGGGATGGTGGCGGCTTAGAACTCTCAGCAAGGAGCCACCGACTTTGTGCACCGCCGCCCTTCCTGAGGGCGCAGGGGCAACTCAGCGGCGGGTGTCTGAGTGCGCATTTTCGCGGCGTGCCTGGACATCCGACGAACTGCTTTTCACGCGCGTTCCCATAGTTCCCGACCCCTTGCCCAGGGGAGGGGGATGTTCGTCCAGGATCCATGTCCGATTGCCCGAGGCCCACTAACGGGCTCATGGATGCCGAAATCGAGGGAGAGCGCCCGCGGTGAAAAAACAAATCGCCGAATACACACACACACACATATATATATATACACACATATGTAGGTATATATATATCTATATATATATATATATATTCTCATACGCCCCTCTCCGAGGGAGTAGAGCTCAGAGGCGATTCATGCGCACGTCGTCCGCGATGTTTCTGGCCGTTTCGCTCGGGACATCCTCGAAATTCTGAAAATCGGTGGCACCCCTCACGCAGATCGTGACGTCAGGGTCCAAAAACACATGGGAATTTCAACATTTTAACATAAAACCTTCAAAAACAAATTGTAATTTCAATAATTTTGACCCCGATTCTCAGAGAATGGCGGTTTCGCATGAAAAATCCTCCCAAAATCGAGCCCCAGACCCCTCCTCGGAGCCTCCTGGGGGCCTCCTGGAACCTCCTGGGGCCTCCTGGGGCTTTCTGGACCTTCTGGTACCCCAGACCCCGCCTCGGAGCCTCCTGGAGTTCTCCTGGGCCTGCTGAGGCCGCCTGGGGCCTCCTGGGGCCTCCTGGGGCTTCAGAACTACATGCACACACAGAGACACAAATCACGCCCAACACATCACACGCTAGACAAACATAACACACACACACACACAACACCGACAACACACAACAAGCACGCACCACACAAAGCACACATCACACACACACAACACTCACAATCCTGGGGCCTCCTGGAGCCTCTTCTGGTATCCAAGTCGGGCCTCCTGAGGCTTATGGGGACCCGAGGGCATGAGATCAAGTGCCGACCTCTGGACCGGTCCACGGGGGCCCTCTGCCCAGCCTCTTCCGCGGGAGCCCGCGGCGTGGCCCCGAGGCGCACCGACAAACACCCGCACCTCGCGGGCCATGGCCGCAGCCCCGCCGCGCGCAGGTCCGGGAGCGCTTCGCGGCCCTGCACGGCACGCGCATCCGCGGCGTGCGCTGGGACCGCTACGCGGGCCCCAGCGGCGCCTTCCGGCCGGACGAGGCCGGAGCGGAGGGCGCCGCCCGCAGCCGCGTGCTGCACGCGAGCGGCGCCGGCGCGCCGGCGGAGCCCGAAGACCCAGGGAACGAAGCACGGCACAGTCTCAAGCGGTGGCGAAGCGTCGGACGCTTAGCCGGGACGCTTAGCCGGGACGCTTAGCGTCCCGGCTTGCCCACAGGCCCACCCAAGGATGTTCTGAGAGCCTTCAGTGGTCTGCACGAGATGGTCTTAGGAGATTTCTGCCCGAGACTGTCCTGTTTGAACAGAACGGGCGTATGCTCTAAGAACACCGTTTTTGTTCCTATATCATTTCTGGGTTCTAAAAACATGTCGTGGTAGTCCTATAGGAATGCTGGGACGGTCGGCTCCTGCTCAATAATCTCTGAGCTCGTCATCATCAGGCCTTGCGGCGGTCTGGGGTAACTGCAGATTCGCGCCTCGGGAGCCCAAATCAGAGTTACCCCAGACTGCAGTTATCCCGGGTAATTAATTCGGGCGTTATGTCCTCCCGAACCACCAGCGCCAGGGGCAGTCAGGGGTCACTACAGATTCGCGCCTCGGGGTCCCAAACCAGAGTTGCCTTGGTTCGCAGTTCGCCTGGAGAATTCGGATGTCCAATAATTTTGTAGGAAACGTAAGACTCGAGTTCCTGCCGACGATTTTTGACGAGCGCGTCAGGGATTTGACTGTCCAGTTTTCTTGGGATGTGCGCAGCGAGAGCTTGCATCAAATTTCCACTTGGGTCCCGTGATTATCATGATGGCCCCGTCAGTCTGACCCGAGCCTCCCGAACCCGAGTCTCACGTCTCCCCGAATGTACCCCAATATCATGGCGTCGCACTTTTTCGCAACGGGCGATGTTGTCTTGATTCTTGCCTTAGGACTCTCACGCATCGACCCGGCTCGACAAATGGCACAGAAGGATGGGGTCCAGGGGTCGGGTCGAGTTATCTTAGCGAGGTTTTCGGTTTTTTCCTCCATTTTTGGCTTCGCCGGGCCCTGGGGCTGTCAACAAAGAGACTCGGGATGAAAGAGCGGCCCTTGGGATCACAATTTCAGAGGTCTGGGTAAAGCACAGTTCGGGTTTGAAAGGGTCTCGTTGTTCTTGTAGGTCCCCCAAATGCGGATGTCGCAGTCAGACCACGGCGGCTGTTTTTCTATATGTCCATCCTCCGGGGGCCGTCTCCCAGTCGCGTGGTTGTCTAAAAAAGGCGCGGGATGAAAAGCCCGTCTAGGGTTGTGGAGGACGATCAATGGAGAGGAAGCATGTTGCCGAATAATTGCCAGATGTCTAGAACATGTGTGGAAACTGTTTTTTTTTTTTTGCAAAAAAAGAAAAACATGCATCAAACATTTCCAGGACATTGTTCCTACATTTCAACTACATTGTTAAGTCAAGGATCGGATCGTTAGGGTGTCCAATATCGTGGCATCCACAAGTCTAGGGAAGAGGTCGAGCTCCCTGCAGCCCACGTCGCGAAAAGAGTGCGCCATCGGGCGAGAGGGTTCCTGCACAGCAGTTGTCCCTCCTGCGCTCCTCGTGCACTCGGGCGCCTTGGCCGGCGACGAGGGGCTTCGCCCTCAGCGAGCGCTCCTGGTGATGGGCCTGTTATCCACCACCACCACCACCACCATAAGTTGGAGGGGGAGAGGCTCCTCCTCGTCCTCCTCCTCCTCCTCGTCCTCGTCCTCCTCCTCCTCCTCCTCCTCCTCCTCCTTCACCCCATCCAACGTATGGAGGTGGTGGTGGAAAACGCGCCCATCACCTGACAGTAGCGCGACGGTAATCATGCGCTTTTTGAGGCCCGCGCGGCTTTCTTGGGCCAGCGCCAGGCCTCCTCCCGACGATGCCTCCGGCGCCGCCCTCCCTGGCGCGCTCCGCTCGCAAGGCCAAGAGATCCAAGAGAGTTTCCAAAATCCCACGGCCAGGACTCCGATGTGAGGACCACTTTGGGCTCTTGTCTCTGGGCCGTCTTCTGGAATCTAGGTCGGGGGGGCCAGCTCGTGGCCGAGGCTCGCCGTGGCCAGAAGAGGGTCTTCCGTTCCTTCTCTGCGGCGTTCCTTACCCTCGACCTCCACCCTCCGAGCCTTCCGCGCGGTTAGGTGCCGTCGCGGCGTGGCCGCGGCGGCCGCCGAGACCGCCGCTGCAGCTTCGGCGGCTGCCGCCGCTGCGGCCGCGGCAGCAGCAGCCGCTGCGCGGTGCATGCCGCGCAGGAGGTGCGGAAGGTGGATGTCGCGGGTGTGGCCGCACCATTGACGGGCCTGTTTTCCGCCACCACCACCACCACCAGCTGGAGGGGGAGGGGGTCCTCCTCCTCCTCCTGCTCCTCCTCCTCCTCCTGCTCCTGCTCCTCCTCCTCCTCCTCCTCCTCCTCCTCTCTCTCCTCCTCCTCCTCCTCCTCCTCCTCCTCCTCCTCCTCCTCCTCCTCCTCCTCCTCCTCCTTTCCCCATCCAACTTATGGTGGTGGTGGTGGTGGTAGAAGACAGGGCCATCAGCCATAGCTGTGTGCCTGCTGCGCCGCCTTTTGATTGCCGATGCCTCGAGGACGCGTGCGCCGCGGGGGCCGACCTGGGCGCCGCGGCGGGCGCGGTGGGCGGCCGCGCGCTGGCGGCGGCGCTGCGGCTGCTGTGCGCGGACTACTGCTCCGCGGGCCTGCCGGACCTGCTCGTGTGGTCGTGGCCCGGCGCCGGGGGGGCCGCCGCGGCGCCGCGCGCGCGCTTCGTGGAGGTGAAGAGCGAGCGGGACGCGCTGTCGCGCAGGCAGCGGGGCCGGGCCTCCAACGTCGGCTGTCGGAGGCTGTCTCGCCTCGGGGGGCTCGCCAGCATCTCTCGAGAGAACCCAGGGGGGCTCGAGATAGAGAAGGGCATCTCCGTTTCGCAGACGGCCCCGGGCGTTAACCGAACAGCGCTCCCTGTGCGATTTCTTCCTTGGGCGCGTTTGTTTCGCAGCGTCGCTCGTCGTGGTGATCATGGTGCGGGCGTGTGCTGTTTGTTTTTCCTGACTTCCCGAGAAGGAGTATCCATGGCACGTTGTCGCTGGTAGCCCGTCAGCATCTTACTCCCTCGTTTTCTGTGCGACGGCTCGGTGCTTCTCTTCAGCCGTAGCGCGCAGATGGGGTTCCCACGGCGGCGCGTCGCAGGTGCTCTTGTGGCTTCCCGGGCAGCTGCGCCCCGCCAAGAGGGTCCCAGGGGTAAGCGGGTCGTCTCGAACGGCCGACGGATGCCACACATCCGCGCACGCAGGCCGCCACCGCCGCCTCGCACGCCACGATCGGCATGCCGCACGGCACGCCCGGACCCCCGACGCCATGCCGCGTGTACGGCGCGAGCCCCAGAGGCTCAGAGCCCCATCCCCGAGGCCGCCCTCCTCGTCCTCCTCCTCCTCCTCCTCCTCCTCCTCCTCCTCCTCCTCCTCCTCCTCCTCGTCCCGGGGTGCCTGCCTCTGGACGGCCCCGGCGCTCGGCCAGGCCCGCACGAGTGGGAGCACACCTGCCGCCGCGGTGTGCTCGCCGCCGCGAGGGGGGGGGGTCCTGGGAAGGTCGCCCGGAGCCCGGAGCCGCCCTCGCCGAGGAGGCTCGCGCCGCGCCCGCGCGGCGACGACCCCCGCGCGGGCGTTCCAGGCTGCGCGCCGCAGGCGGCCCTGGATCGGCGGGCACCGAGCGATCGGTGCTCTCGGGCTGCCGCGATCGCTGAATCGGGTGTTGCTGGAAGTGCCCCTGGCCCAAGGGGCCCCCAGGGCTCTCGAGGGAGCCCACACGGCTTCAGAGCACCCCTCGCGAGGCCCAGGGAGCCCCAGGGGCTCCACCATGGAGCGACAAGCGGGGGGCACCTCGGGCCAGGGGCACCTCTAGCAACCCCCGACTGAAGGTTGAACGATCCACGCGATGTCAGGAACCGATGCCAGGGTCACCGATGCCGTAGGCTTCCCAGACCTCCGATGTCTTGGCGTTCTGGATGCGGGGTCCCCGAAGCTCTGGACCAGGATACCGTCCCGGAGTGCGTTGTTGACTGTCCTTGGGGCCGGCGAGGGCCCGCGGACGCCAACAAATCAGAGAAATGTCCACATCGTGTTTCCGAGACGATGACTGACAAGGCTTCGGGTTGCGCACGGGCAGCCCCCCCAGGCAGCCCTGGCTGACCTCAACAGGCCCCCGAGCAGCCCCTGCCTGCCTCAACAGGCCCTCAGAGCAGTCCAGGGCGGTCTCGACACCTCAACCCTCGGGCGCGGAGTGCCTCAGGGGCGCCGCCGCAGCCTTACCATCGAAAGAGGTCTGGTCTGGGTCACTCTTGCCCTCAGTGTTCTTTGAAAACGGCAGGGCCCTCTGTCGTTCCGGTTTCCTTTTGCAGTGTTGTTTTCCGGTTCGTGTGCGGTTTTGCTGTCCGTTTTGTCGCCGTGTGTTGTTTCTGGTCCAGTTTCAGGTTCCAATCCTGGAGCCCTTTTTGCTTCCGTTTCGGCGAGCTGTTGATTGTTCTTTCTTCCATTCTCAAGACAGGTCAAGTTTTTGGGAAACTCTTGAACATTTGCCCTGCCTTGCCCAAGAAGTACTCACCGGCGGCGAGCGACGGGGGAAGTGAGAAGGGGCAGGCCTTCTCAGAAGGCTCGGAAGTCCCCCAGCCTTCCGAGAAGTTTTCTCAACCTTCCCCGAAGGCACAAGAAAAACCGATCAGAAGGCCGGAGGCCTTCTGAGAAGTCTCGCTTCCTTCTGAGAAGGCCTTCTCCTTCTCATTTCCCCCCCCCCCTCGCCCGCCGACGAGAAGAATTGGGGGGGAACACTCTGGGCGCACTGAGCTGCCGACCCGAGCCCTCTGCAGCCTCCTCGCTCGCCGCCGAGCTGCGCTCGCCCGCTGCCGCACTGAGCTCCTCCTCCCCCCTCCCCTCCTCCTCCTCCTCCTCCTCCCCTCCTCCTCCTCCTCTCTCCTCCTCCTCCTCCCCCTCCCCGTCCTCCTCCTCCCCCTCCTCCCCCTCCCCCTCCTCCCCCTCCTCCTCCCCCTCCCCCTCCCGGAGGCAGCGCTCCTGGCTCGCGGCGCTGCGGGCGGCGGGCGCGGAGGCGGAGGTCTGCCACGTGCGGGACGGCCCCGCGGCCGCGGCCGCGGCGGCCCGCGGGGGGGGCAGCGACTCCGAGGGGTCGGCCGCGCGCGGGCGGGGGAGCCCGCGGCCGCGGCCGCGGCGGGGCGAAAGCGCACTGGCGGCGGCGGCGGCGGGGGCGGGGGAGCCTCAAGTCGGGCGTGCTCCCCCCTCCAGGAGGAATAATACTCCAAAACGGATCCAGACATAGAGTATGTTTGGGATTATTTTGGGACATGGTTTGAGCATGTTCTGGCTAGCTATTTTTTTCAAAATTTGTCGTCCAAAAAATGCGCCTGTGGGGGGACCGCGCCCGAGCGAAGGGGAGCCCAGGCGGCGGCCGCGAGGGCTGGGAAGAGCGGGCCCAGGGCTGGGGCCTCCCTGCAGCGGCGAGTGAGGGGGGGGGGGAGGGGAGGCGAGACGGAGGAGGCCTTTCTCGGCCAGGGGCACTTCTGGCGACGCCCGAGCATCTCCAAGGTACTGGCCCCGGCTGGGGCCTCCCTCTCTGAGAGTCTGGACTAGACGTAGGGGTGACCTTTCGGCGGAGTGACCTTTGATGCGGGCCCAGTGGGGTCCCCCGATCGCAAAACACGAAGCGGCAGAATCGGCTTGCGCGCCCAGGTTTGGCCATCCCGCGTCCCTTGGTAAGCCGCGCACCAAAAGTAATTTTTGCCTAGGGTCCCTGTTGCATGTAGCCGAGAGTCGTCGCCAGGGGGTGTCCACCCACCTCCGAGGTACTTGGCTCGCCCGCGCGTTGGCGCGTTGGCTCCGCGTTGTTCTGGGGGCTGCGGCAGTGACGCGCCCTTCCGTCCAGTCCAGACCTTAGATGGGAACAAGCGGGTGGGCGGTAGCAAATCATAGGAGCTTCGTTTTCCCCTCGCAAGTTTGTCTCTAGAGTGCGTTCACGTCGGTCAGCGCCTGATAATCGGTGAGACAGCGCCGAAGTAGCAACGAGTAGCGCCGAGTCGTTTCGAAACATACACATGTGTGTGTAGTGCATAGACATATATATATATATGTATATATATGTATTTATCGATGTACCGCTGTTTAGCGTCGACAATTGTCGATTAGCGCCGCCTCGTCAGTCAGATGGTATGGGAGGCTGCTCGCGGAGCTCGCTGAGTTCATCATGAGGCACTTACATTGGCTTGGTGCTCGCTGACTGTAGCTCAGGCGTAGTGCATGGCCCATTCTTGCTGCGTAAGGATTTGTCTGAGGTTACTGCTGTCGTTGGTCATGGCAGCCTTCGTGTGCCTCATCTAGGTGTTGATGTCGCTAACGTGTTGTATCTTCTTGTCCGCCTGGAGTCGTGGTTCGTCATGTCGGGCAGTCTGCTTCAGTGCCTCAGTGTGTAGCATTCGCTGGTGCTCGTCTTTGTGCTTGTTGGAGCTGTACTCCTCCGTGGGTTGTTGCAGGCGCGTGTGTGTCTTCGCCTGCTGCGTGTGTTCGTTGGCCAGTCGGCGGTCCGTGTCTGCCAGCTTAGCACGGCGATCCAGTAGTTCTTTAGTCTGCGTCGACCTGCTGTGCAGGCTGGCCTTATACATGTCGATCTGTCTGGTCCCAGCTCCTGCTGCTCAAACACGCAGCTCTCGGTGTTGGTTTGTGTCTCGTCGATATTAGTTTCCCGGATCGTAGATTTGGCGGCCAGCTCTGGTCTTAGTCGATATGATTTATGTATGTATTGGTGTCTTCCGAGGTCTTCTCCAACAGGTTGTCGTAGGTCTCATGTGTGATGAAGCCTGTTGGTGGTGTGTTCTCGTTCCTTGTAAAAGCTTCACTGGGTGATTGTTCTAGTGGCTTGACATTGCAGGTGAGGTCAGTACTGGCTCTTGATGGCGTCGCTTCCATATGAGCCTGCTGCGCAGGTGCTCCACTCGCTGGTCTGGGGGTACGTGCCATCTTAGGCCCACGAGCCAATCTGACATCTCCTTGTTGTACACGTTCGATTCCTCTGGTAATGCGGTTGAGCCTCCTGGCTTTCTTCTGTCTCTTCTGCTCGCTCAGCCGAATCGTCTTGTCGTAGGCCTGTCCCGCCTTGACGTGTTTGGATCTCTTTGAATGTAGTTGCTTGAGGCGCAAGTCAAGGGCTTGATGACATGAAGCATGGACTCGATGTTGGCGACGTTGTCATATAGGTACTGATATGGTAAGCTAGCTTCCTTGTTGGCGGTGATGGACTTTTGCAAGTTTGTAGGCACGTGCATGGCGTCGGTGGCGTTACTCGTAATAGTCGTCCTCGTCCCCCGGTGTGGTGCCAACTGCGCGTTGAACATCGCCGCCTTTTGGTCCGCTGTAGCAGTACCCCCGATTATCATATCCTCAAGTTCGTCCATCTTCCATGCGGGACCTATGGTAGTCTCTTGTTCGTCTGCTGGTTACAGTAGCCCCCGTCCTCTTGTCAACAGTGTCCACCGTGACATTTCCATTCGTGGTTGGGGAAGCTCCGTAGGCATGCGCACTGCTATGTTGCATTGTGATGTTCCTGTTTGCTTTCTTGTGTGTGTGTGTATTTGTCTCCCCCTGCTGTAGTTGCGCATCTGTGGTATACAGCCTTGGCACTTCTCAGGCGCCTGGCGCCCGGCCTGGCGCGTGCCTGGAGCTGCTGTTCCGTGCTGCAGTCCTGAGATGGCGTCGATCTTGGGTTGTGGAGCTTTTCGTGTTCTGTGCCAGGCCAGCTCTGGGCTGCGCTGTCTCTGGAAAGACTCCGTAGCTGACGTTGTTGAAGTTGGGCTGTCGATCAGCAACAGGGTTCTAGGCGTCGGTCTTGGGCTCGATGAGCTCTCAGTCTTCTGTGCCAGGCCCTCTCTGGGCTGCGCTGCCTCTGGAAGTGCTCCGCGGCTGGCGTGGTCGAAGCTGGCCCTGTTGGTCAGCAGCAGGTGGCACAAGTAGTTGGCGCTCTTCGCCCACACGCGGAGGATGCTGCGCCACGAGCTGTTGACGCCCGGTGGGGGCAGTTGTTCTCGGCGTGAGCCGCTCCGCCGATGGCGGCGGCGCGCTGAGGCCAGTCCCGCCCCCCCTGGGGGTCCCGGCGAGGCGGCGCGGGAGCCCGGGGCCACAAGGCTTTCCCTCTCCACCCTCTCCTCCTCCTGCTGCTCCTCCTCGTCCTCCTCCTCCTCCTGCTGCCTCCTCCTCCTCCTCCTCCTCCTCCTCCTCCTCCTCCTCCTCCTCCTCCTCCTCCTCCTCCCTCCCTCCTAGTTTTTGGGCTCGAGGCATTTTGTCTCCGAGGGCGTGCCCGGGGTCATCCAGAGCGGCGCGCGCCGACCTGGACGACCAGCCTAGCACCCGGCGCGCCCAGAACGCAGCCCTCGGCCGGGATGTTCAACGTGGAGGCCATGGCCCAGTACCTGGCCGCCGCCGGCGGCGGAGTCGCGCAGGGCGGCTTCGCAGTCCCGCAGGCCGGCTTCGCGGGCGCGCCGGGCGCCTGCGGCTTCGCGGGCGCGCCAGGCGCCTGCGGCTTCGCGGGCGCGCTGCCGGGCGCCTGCGGCTTCGCGGGCGCGGCGGGCGGCTGCGGCATCGCGGGCGCGCAGGGCGGCTTCGCGGGCGCGCAGGGCGGCTTCGTGGGCGCGCAGGGCGGCTGCGGCTTCGCGGGCGCGCAGGGCGGCTTCGCGGGCGCAGCACAGGCGGGCGGTCTCGCGCTCGCGACGCAGCCAGGCGGCCTCGCGTGCGCGGGCGCGGCGCAGCCAGAGGCGGGCAGCCCGCAGGTCAAGCAGTGGCGAAGCGTCCTGGCTTGCCCATAGGTCCACCAAAGAGTCTTCTAAGAACCCTTTGTCGTCTGCACGGAATGCTCTCAGAACATGTCTGGCTGAGACTGTCGTACATCGGGTTCTTGTTCTAAGAACGTTGGTTTCGTTGTTCGAGCATGTTGGGGTTCTAAAAGCATGTCGTGGTAGGCCTATAGGAATGCCAGGACGGTCGGCCCCTACTCAAGCAGGAGATGGAGGCGCTGGTCGGAGGGATCAACGCGTTCATCCAGCGCTACCCGATCGACCAGCGGTGCTACGAGTACCTGACGACCTCCTCCAGCGCGGTCATCTCAGGGGCAGCGTTCGGGGGGCGGGGGATGGGCTCAGGGGGTGGAGGCATCGACCTGGAATCGTCGGTGCCTCGCCGGTGGATCTGCGATGGGCTCCCGACCCGCGATAGCGAATCCGCACGGTCCTGGGCAGGGGTGGGCGACCGGGCCCCTGGCGGCGAGGCGTGGGCGCGCGGGGGCCGCCGCCTCCCCCCCGAGCCTCTCTTCCCCCCGCACGCTGCCCCGGACCCTCGCCCGCGTCCTCCAGGAGTTCCGGGCGCCCCGCGAGGGCGAGGCGGACTACTCGCCCCTGGTCACGTCGTGGGTCAAGCGCATGCGGGGGCAGAGCGGCGAGGGCCCCGGCGGCGGCGCGGGGCCCGCGGACGCCGCGGCGGGGGGGGAGGTGACGCAGGAGGTGGTGGACGAGTTCTTCCTGAAGTACCCGTGCGACCAGCGGGCCACGGAGTACTTCAACATGTCCCCCAGGGAGGTGCAGAGCGCCGTGGTGCAGCAGTTCCGGCCGAGGTCGGAGGGGGACTCGGACTACTCCGCCGCGATCACGTCGTTCATCCGGTACAAGAGCTCGAAGGGCGCGGGGAAGGGCGCCGCCTTTGGCGGGATGGGGGGCATGCCGGTGCCGGTGGTCCCCGGGGTCCCCGGGGCCTTCCAGAGGCCGCCGGGGATGGCGAACCCGAATTCGGGTTGGGCCACGGCGGACATAGACCCCAACGCTCCGCCCGTCGACTTGGAGAGCTTCCGCGCCCAGTACCCCATGGACGATCGTGCCTGGGACTTCCTGTCGAGCGTGGACCAGAGGATCCAGAAACGGGTCGTGGAGACCTTCAAGGTGCTCAGGGAGGGCGAGGCCGACTACTCCGCAAAGATCACGGCCTACGTCAAGACCACGAAGCAGATGTGGCACGAGGCGGTGGCCGAAACGGCCCTGACGCAGGAGCAGGTCGACACTTTCTTCACCAGGTACCCGTGCGACCAGAAGGCCACGGAGTACTTCAACCAGATCTCAAGGGAGCTGCAGGCGGTGATCGTCCGCGAGTTCAGGCCGAGGTCGGAAGGAGATTCGGACTACTCCGCGGCGATCACGTCGTTCATCAAGTACAAGTCCAACGCCCCATGGGCCGCCGGAGGCAAGGGTGGCGGCTGCGGGGGTGGAAAGGGCGGCTGCATGGGCGGCGGCGCGATGCAGGTGCAGCAGTTCGCCGGGGCCGGCATGCAGGCTGGCGGCGCTCTGACGCAGCAGGAGGTTCGACTGCACGTAAGAGTGACCCCTCGCTGGGGTGACCTTCGGTGCGGGCCCATCGGGCCCCCCCGGACGCCGAATGCGATGCGATAACAGCGGCCTGCGCGCTTGGGTGTCGCCCCCTCGCGCCCCGAAAGTCCGCGCACCAAAGGTCACTCTTGCCCAGGCTCACTCCTTGCGTGCAGCCGAGAGGTGGACAGCTTCTTCACCAGGTACCCCTGCGACCAGAGGGCCTGCGAGTATTTCAGCCAGTGCTCGGTGGACGTGCAGACGTCGGTCGTGCGGCAGTTCCGGCCGAGGTCCGAGGGAGACTCCGACTACTCTGCGGCCGTCACGGCGTTCGTCAAGCGGTGCAGCGGCGGCGGCATGGGCGGCATTCGGCAGCAAATCATGGGAGCCTCATGTACCGTGGTAACTCCGTCTTTAGATGGCGTTCGCGTTGGCGAGCGTCGGGCCGTCGATGAGATATCGCCGATTTGGAGTCGATTCACATCGACTTGGCGTCGATTAGGGTCCGATTTAGCGCCATTGAGCGTCGATTAGGCTTCGCAAGAGCCAACAAGATGGTATGGGAGGCTCCCACGAGTTGCCACAGAAGGTGGCATGATGGCGGCGCAGCAGTCGCAGCAGTGGCAGCCGCAGCAGCAGCAGCAGCAGTGGCAGCCGCAGTACATGCAGCAGCAGAGTTGGCAGGGTGGGCCGGCGGCCAAGCGCATGCGGATGGGCATGTGACGCTGCAGCGCGCCCGCCGCTCGCCGGTTTGGCCAGACTCGCGCGCGCGCGCGCCCGCGCGCGTGCGCGAGACCCTGAGATATCCGACGTCTTGACAGTTTCAATGCGGAGTCAGTGCAAGGCCCGAAGGTTTTCCCAGGGCCGGCGTTTCGTCCTGGTCTGTCTTGCGACGGCCCCCAGGGCCCTGCGAGGGGCTCCAGGGCGAAGACTCAGAACCGAAATGATTGCCGCTCCGCGAATCCCCACCAGTCTATCCCAAAACGATCCCTGGACGAGTTGCCTTGATCAGGGGAACGTAGCAAGTCGCAGTGGGAGATAGAGGGGAACCCCTCTGTCTCTCTCTCTCTCTCTTTCTCGAGATTTGTATGCCTGCGCGGCCCTGTCGGATGAAGAGGACGAGGCGAAGGACATGCTGCTCGATTTCCATGCTCGGCCTCTCTCGGTGGCGGAGTAGCCAGATGATCTCTGCTACTTCTCTTGGTGCTGCTGCCGATGCTTCTGCTTGTGGTGTTGCTTCTGGTGGTGGTGGTGCTGCTGCTGCTGCTACTGGTGCTACCGCCAGTGCTGCTGCTGGTGCTGCTACTGCTGGTGCTGCTGACGGTGCTGCTGCTGGTGTTGCTGCTGCTGGTGCTCGTGCTGCTGCTGCTGCTGCTGCTGCTGCTGCTGCTGCTGCTGCTGCTGCTGCCGGTGCTGCTGCTCGTGCTGCTGCTCGTGCTGCTGCTGGTGCTGCTGTTGCTGGTGTTGCTGCTGGTGGTGCTGCTGCTGCTGCTGGTGCTGCCGGTGCTTCCAGGTAGTCCAGGCGGTGATGTTTTTGCTGCTGCCGGTGCTGGTGGTGCTGCTGGTACCTGCTCGTGGTGCCGCTGCTGGTGGTGCTGCTGGTGCTGCCGCTGGTGGTGCTGCTGCAGTAGCGAGGGGGGGCTCTGCAGGGCCCCCTGGGTCCAGGTCTGGGGCCCGCGCAGGGAAGGCAAGGAGGAGGAAGGGGAGGATGAGAAGGAGGAGTAAGACGACGCTGCTGCTGGCTTTCGGGGGAAGAGAGGAGGAGGCGGAGGATGAGGAGGAGGTGGAGGAGGAGGAGGACTGTACTCATGAGAGCTGCCGGGAGCAGTGAGGACGGGACACACGAAGCGAAGCAGAGGACGAGGAAGAGAAACACAGAAAGAGGAACTGTATAGCGAGGACAAAGAGGAGGGAGCGACTAGGAGGACGAGAGGGAGGATGAGGATGAGAAGGACGAGGAGGAGGATGAGGATCAAGAGGACGAGGAGTAGGAAGAGGACGACGACGACGACGGAAACGAGGGCGAAAACAATGAGGAGAAGAAGGACAGAGACAACAACGATGATGCGTATACAAAAACGAGGACGCAGAGTGGAAGGAGGAGGAAGCGAAGGAGGAGAAGGAGGTGGACGAGGACGAGGGGGAGGATGAGAACGAAGAAGAGGACGAAAAGGAGGAGAAGGAGGAGGAGAAGGGAGAGGAGGAAGATGGCTTGTGTGGGGGGTGGAGGAGGAGGAGGAGAAGGAGGAAGAGGAGGAGGAGGAGGAGGAGGAAGAGGAGGCGAAGGAGGAGGATGACGAGGACGAGGGCCGGGAGTAGGAGGAGGACGAGCACCAGGAGGAGTAGGAGGAGGAGGAGGAGGAGGAGGAGGAGGAGGAGGATGTGCACATGGACGAGGACGGGAGGAGGAAGAGGAAGAGCAGGAAGACGAGTAAGATAACGACGAGGACAAGGAAGGGGAGGACGAGGAGGAGACGTAGGAGGAGGAGACGGACGAGGACATGGAATACGAGGACGAGGATAAGGACAACATGGACGAGGATTTTGGGAGCCATCTGGAGTATTATTGGGCCTTCTTCGGTTCTTCTTAGGGCTATTTCTGTGCTCACTTGGGGCTCTTTTGGGGAGTCTTGGGGTCCTCTCGAAGCTCTTTTGGGGGTTATCGGGGACCTCTTGAGGCCCCATTGTGGCTCTGTTGAGGCCCCCTTGGGGGCCCTGGAGGACCTCTTTGGGCTATCGTGGAGGGCGTCGGTGAAAAAAGAGAGGTCCTAACGTTGTGCCCCCCCCTTCCGTCCCCCCCCTCCCCCTCTCTGGCGGTCTCGAAATCGCCCCTTGGGACCCTCTTGGGGACTCTTGGGGCGATCTTGGACACGTTTGGGACCTCGTATGAGGCCTCTTGGGCCCATCTTGGGGCTCTCTTGGGCCATCTTCGGGTCATATGCAGGCTTCAAAAGCGCATCGGAAGCGACAAGGCGAGAAAGCAATCTTCACTGATGTGCCTTCGTTGTTTGAATGATCTTGGCTTCTGGGGGGGGGGTCCCGAGGGTGCTCCGAGGGCACTTGGAACCAGTCTTGTGGTCCTCGTGGGGCCTCTTGGAGGCATGTTGGTAGCCATCTTGGGTCATCGTCGACTATCTTGGAGCATCGGAAGACTTTTTAGAGCCATCTTGGGCGACAGATAAATCTGTCACACCTCGCGCCCCCCCTCCAGATCCGGGGGGGGTACGGGGAGGGGTCAGGCTACCCACCCGCCCGCAAGCCGTCTAGCTCACTCCCACCCGGTCTTCCATGACATAAGTAACACCCGAGCCTCGGCATGTTTAGCGGTCGTCTTTGGATGGGCAGTTACTGGGAATCACCGCCGACCCCAGGTGCGCGACGCTTGGGCGAGGTGCGCCACGCGAGCCAGGCGCGCCAGGCGCGCCAGGCACCCCTGGGGCCCGAGCGTGCCAGGCATGCTTGGTGCGCCAGATGCGCCACGTGCTCCGAGTGCGCCAGGTGTGCCGCACACTCCAGCCGCGCCAGGTGCGCCACGTTTGGGGCACGTACAGAGTGCGTCAGGTGCGGCTGCGCACGTGACAGCACACATCAGGAAACATGTCAGCCCCCGCCATCCTTGTCGAACACCAATGCCAATGATTGTGTCTGGTGGGCCTTCGCGCATCACGCCACGCGCCACTTCCCCCCGCCGTCCCTGACAAAATCTCTTGACAGTGACCGCGCGATGGCCGCGCATGATGCAGATTTGCCGTGAGGTGCATGTTGTATGGTTTTTTTGTCAGGGACTGTAGCCCTGCGCACAGCAGGGAATATGCTGACACCCCCGCCGTCCCTGTCAAAAACAATACAGAGTACTCGCGGGCCTCACGAACATGACTCAAGACTTTGCCCCAGAGTGTATTTTGTATTATTTTTCGTCAGGGATGGTGGGCGGGGCGCATCGGTTTGGCCGCGCATGCTCCAAATGTGGAGGCATTGTTGTTTGATGGGGATGGTGGGGGGGGCGGGCCTGCATGAAGTCGGCATGGTTCCGGATTGGCCGCGGGCCAGGTGGAGGGAGGGGGTGTATATCAAGAAGGAACAGAGATCAAGACACCCCTTCGATAGCAAGCCGTGTAGTTCACTCCCACCCGCGGTTCAGCGGTCGTCTGTGGATGGGCAGCTAATGGGAACAAAACCGACCCCAGGTGCGCGACGCTTGGGCGAGGTGCGCCACGCGCGCCAGGCGCGCCAGGCACCCCTGGGGCCCGAGCGTGCCAGGCACGCCTGGTGCGCCAGATGTGCAACGTGCTCCGCGTGCGCCAGGTGTGCCGCACACTCCAGCCGCGCCAGGTGTGCCGCGTGCGGGGCACGTGCAGAGTGCGTCAGGTGCGCCTGCGCACGTGGTAGTACACACCGGGAAACATGTCGGCCCCGACCATCCTCGTCGAAAAGCAATGCCCATCATTTTGTCTTGTGGGCCTGCGTACAGCAGGCCATACGCCACCACCCCCGCCGTCCCTGACAAAAAACACTTGACAGTGATCGCAGGGTGGCCGCGCATGATGCAGATTTGGCCGCGAGGTGCATGTTGCATGCTGACACACCCGGCGTCCCTGTCAAAAACAATACAACTTGCTCGCGGGCCTCACGAACATGACTCAAGACTTTGGCCCAAAGTGTATATTGTATTGTCTTTCGACAGAGATGGTGGTGGGGGGGCGCATCGGGTTGGCCGCGCTTGCTCCAAATGTGGAGGCAGATTGAGTTTTGTATGTCGTTTGACAGGGATGGTGGGGTGGAGCCCATGGTGTCCTTATGGTTCCTGGTTGGCTGCTGGTCGCCTGGGGGAGGGGGTGTATATTAATAGGGAACAGCGAGAAACACTCCCCAAAGAGGAAGAAGGGGCGTGGAAGAGGAAACACTTTAAACCACCTCCCCCGGGAGTACTGGTGGGACTCCCGTCCCGATTCTTCCCGGGACGCTCGAGGCCTGGTTTTCGGGTCACAGCTCGGGCATCCGGCGGCCGTGGCCAGACGACTCGGGCACCCCTCGAACGCTCTTGGCAAGGGGCATCTGCCGCCGAGCATCTCGAGGCCCGAGAACCTCCACGAACTAGCAGTCCCAGCCACCCGACGCCGTGCCACGATTTTGATCACAACGTCGACCCGTGGAGGTCTCGACCCATCTTTCGAGACTGTCTCTTCCTCCTGGGTAATGTTGCCAAGGATCTTGAAGCCCGGCGAGGGGTCCCAGAAGCTGAGCATAGCAGGAGATTCTCCCGCGTATCCCCAGCGGCCCATTCGAAATCCTTGCCCATGAGAGCTGACGGCAAAAGGGACGAAGAGACACATGCAGTGAAGCAAAGCGGGCAACCAGGGTGAGCAGAGAAATCTCGGGGAGCAAGTGGTTGGTCGTGGATGGCGCCTCTTCGGGCCATACCTGGGGTCCGCGCGAGGGGGACGGAAGGAAGATGAGGAGCAGGAGGAGGAGGAGGAGGAGCAGGAGGAGCAGGAGGAGCAGGAGGAGGAAGACTGAGAGAGGAAGACGACGACGACGACGCCGACGTCGACGTCGACGTCGACGCCGACGACGACGACGACCACGACGACGACCACGACGACGTCAACCACGACCACGACCACGATCACGACCACGACCACGACGACCACGACGTCGAGGAAGAGGAAAAGGAACAGGAAGACGATCAGGGCAAGGACGAGGACGAGGACGATGAGGAGGAGGAGGAGGAGGAGGACGAGGAGGAGGAGGAGGACGACGAGGACGAGGACAGAGCTTTCAAACTCGCATCTTGGAGCCATCTTGGGACTCTTTTGATGGCCCCTTGGGGCGCTCTTGGGCCGCTCTTTGCGCTCTTGGGGCTGTCCGGCGGGCCGATTGGGCCCCTCTTGGGTTTCTCTTGGGCCCTCTTGGGGCCATCTTGAGGCCTCAAAGGGACATCGGAAGCGAAACGACGAGAAGGCAATCTACATTGATTTTCCTTGATGTTCAAAATGATTTGGGCCTCTTGGGGGTCTTAAGGGGGCTCTCAGAGCATTTGGAACCGTCTTGTGGCCCTCGTGGGGCTTCGTGTGGGTATGTCGGAAGCTACCTTGAACCATCGTCGGTTATCTTGAGCTATTTGGGAGGCCATCTTGGAGCACCGGATGCCCTCTTGGAGCCAGCTTGGGCCATCTTTGGCGGCCTGACTTTCCGCGGCACGCCCGCAACAAATTCTCAGGGAGGAGGGCAAACCTCCCTGGAGGGAAGAGGGAGGTTGTACGAGGAATGTACGAGGAAAGAACTCGCTAGACCACCTTAGCCCCAAATGCTTCCGGGATTTCCCGTCACGACTTCTGTCGCAACGCAACGCGGAAAAAGCTTCACGCAAACAACGCAAATCTCCGTTTTGTTTTTTGTTTCGTTCCAAGGCGTTGGATGTCTGGCGAGAGCCTAGGCCTTCCAGATGAGTTCCGAGTAAACAGGGTCAGAGGATCGCCCCGCACCGCCGATGCGGCTCGATGTTGAGCCAAAGTCTCTTCACGCCGATGGTTCCGACGCCTCGCTGGCGTCACCGTTGCATCGCCGATGCGTCGTCGATGCATCGGCGATGCGGCGCGATTCTTCGATACGGGAACAAAAAGTGGCATAAACATAAAAACTCGGAGGTCCGCGCGGATTTCTCGGATCGGCGCTGGACCCCCCTGCCTGGCGCGCGGAGCGCGCCAGGGGCGGCGCCAGAGGCGCCGCCAGGGAGGCCCCAGCGCCGATCCGGGAAATCCGCGCGGACCTCCGAGTTTTTATGTTCATGCCATTTTTTGTTCCCCTATTCGAGCCCATCTACTCGGACCCCACTTGGGAGGGCTCTGGGAGAGGCGGCTCCCTTCGCCCGCTTGCGCTGCGCCGTGCTGGCGCCCCGGTGGCCGTGCCGGCAGCAAGTGCCGCCAGGAGCCGGTCTGGTACCGCTGCGCTCCGGCGGCTTGGGGGGGCCAGTCTCCTCTGCCCCCTCGTCCTCGTCCACATCGTCCTCCCTGCCTCCGTGCCTCACTCTCTCCTGCTCCTCGCTCTCTGCCTCCCTGCACCTCCCTGCATCTCTTCCTCCCTCTCTCTCCCGCTCGCAGTCTCGTCCCAAGGTGCCTCCCTGCCTCCCTCCCTCTCTCTTCCTGCCTCCTGTATCTCTCTCTCCCTTTCTCTCCTTCCCCTCCCTCTCCTCCCTGGCTCCCTTCCTTCTCCCTCCCCCGCTCCATGCCTCTCTTTGCTTTCTCCTCTCCCTCCCCCTCTGCATTCCTTCCTGTTCCCATGTGCAGTTACTCCATGTGAATATGTTAGCCAAGCTGGATCCGACACAGAGCTCTTGCAATACATGCTGAGCAATCTAAGCGGTGCAACCAACGTGGTGCAATGTAGGTGGACCAATCAACGTCTTGTAATCGATGAGGAGCAAAGCGAAGCAATCACACCAAAATCAAAGCAATACATTAGAATGCAAAGCAGTTCAAAGCAACGCAAAGACATGCAAACAAATGCAATGCACACCGACGCAACCTCATGTAATGCGACGATGCAAACCAGTGCAAAGCAGTGCCTTGCAGCGCATCGCAAAAAGCAAAGCAACAGCACAAAACCATGCATTGCAGTGCACAGCAACAGCACAAAGCCATGCATTGCAGAGCGTTGCATCGCATCGCCAAGCAGCGCGAAGCCATACACGAAGCACTGCAAAGCCATGCGGCGACGGGCGGCGACGGGCTGCGGTCAGCCGGTCGAAGCGCCACCTGGGCCCAGATACTTAAGATTAAGTCAGGCATGTCCCTCTGCAGGAAGAAAATTCCAAAATATTCAAAAAATAGTCAGCGGACCATTTACCCCGTATTTTTTTAAACACGTATGGTGTCTTGTTTCGTATTTCTATTTTTTCGTCGGAAATCAGCCTGTCGGGGGACATGCCTGACTTAAACCTAAGAAGACGAGTAAGATCCCAGCAGTGCAAGCTCTGTTTGGGGAATTGCGTGCTCGCGTCTCTTTTCGGATCATGTCTGAGCGGGGCAGCTTCGTTCCCGCATGTTGCTTTTGACCGCATGAGATTCAAGAGGTGGCTCTTTAAATCTATGTTTCCCCGCCTGGATGTCTTCGGTGTGTAACAGGTGGTGTTCCCGTTGCAGTGTCGGCCCCATTTCAGGTCCTCGGTTTGCCCCCTTCCTTACCATTGTTCAGCATTTCTCTCTCGCCATAGCGCGGGCCACATGTCTGGATCCGATCACTTCCTCGTCGTTGTCGCACCACTCCTTTCCCATCCTCCGCCTTTCCCTTTTTTCTCCTGCTCCTTCCGTTCATCCTGTTCCTCATCCTAGTCCCTCGCTCCTCATCCTCATCCTCATCCCGCATCCTACTGCTACTCCTCGTTCCTCATCCCTCATCCCTTGTGTCCTCTTTTTTGTCCTCATGCTCCTCCGCCACATCCTCTCCCTCTTCCAATGCGCAGAGCTCGTCTTTCTGATTACGCATCGCACGATGGGGTCACTTGGGTCACTTGGGGAACCCAGGTCAGCTAGGACACTATTGGCTGCCTGAGAACTTGTTGCGTCCAAAACCTGGATAGCAGAGCAGTCAGAGGGCCGGCACGAGGACATGGGTAGCCCAAAACTCGGACAGACGAGCAGTCTTGCACCTGGCCCCGACAACCTGAGGCGCCTGGAAGCTTGTTGGAGACGCGTGCAAGGAAGGCTGGCAGAGGAAGGCTGGCAGAGTGCCCGAGAAGCTTGCAAGCTCGCAATATGGGATCGGCGCGCGACCCCAGGAAGCGCTGTCCAGGAGCCTCGCGGCGCAAGTATTGGGAACGAGTGGGAAAAACGCTTCCGGGACAAGCTGCGACTTCCAGCAGGGCGCTGCGAGGCCCCTTGACCGGCAGCCGTGGGAAATGGTCGGCCTTCCCTTTCCTGCCAGATTCTAATGTGAAACCCTTTTCGTTCTCCAGCGAGCTTTCCAGGACCATCAACGCCATGGGAAGGAGAGGCTGGGAGGGGTAGGATATCGGACATGGCGCAGAAGCGTGCATCTAGCGTGCTGCCGCGTCCTGCTTTCTTGGGCCCCTTGCGAACCCTACCCCCGTGGATCCAATCAACGCTGTGGTATCGGACGCCCCCGCCGGAATTCTCTTCCCTGCAGACATCGCAGGCCTAGAGGTTGACACGAACACCAAGGTCGGCGATGTGCCTCCACCGAGGGAAGACGATCCCAATCTCGGCGATTGTGGTAATATTCTGGCTGCCAAGGTGACCGAAATATTATCACCAACGCCGAAATCTAGGATCATCTTTCCCCTGTGGAGGCACCCCCCTGCGTTGGTGTTGGTGCCCATTCCAAGGCCTCCAAAGACACGTTTTGAATTCGGGTCCCCAGCCAGGTGTTCATAAATCTGACCTGCAGGCGTGAGGTTCGCATGTGGCTTCCTCCTCCACACCCCCTCCTCGGCCTCGTCGTTGTCCTCCTCCTTCTCCTCTGTCCCTCCCGCCCTCTCTTCCTCCCGCCCCGCCCTTTTACTTGTTATATTCTTCCGTGAGTGAGCGCTGCTGGGGAGGAGCTTGTGGTGAAAAGAGTTCGTCATCCTCCTTGCTGTTTTTTCCGAAGAGATCCAGTTCAGTGTTTTGCCCGAGTCATTTCGTAAGGGCGGGAGTTCCGTCCTGAGTCGTATTGATATTGCCCTGGGAGCGCGAAGCAGACGAGCCCTCGATACATACGACTTGGAGAAACTTCCGACTTCAGTTTTGCCAAGACGTTGGAGGTCTGGTTCTCGGGCCATGCAGTCAGCCCGCATGGCAAGTCTGGGCAATATTCCCAAGGGTACCTTGCATCCCCGCCTCCTCAGTCCATCCTATGCCACTCTCGCTGGCCGCGCTCGGCTCGAAAAGCTCCGAAATGGGCGTCCATGGCTCGTGCATCCTCATCGCGCATCCGGATGCCACGGGCCGATTGCAAATCTGGTGCCAAGTGGCCGCTCGAGACTATTCGGGCGCCCCTTCGACCGCTCTCGGCGAGGCGGGGCTGCTCGCAGGCAACATCCCGAGGCGAGAGAACCTCCGACAGCCAGCGAGACCCAGCGAACTCCTGCTAGCAAGCTGGCTGCTCATGCTGTGGCCAGCCCGGGCGAGAGCTAGCTACAGACGCGGCGTTCAAATATCTGTCCCGCGCTCGGCCGTTGCATGGCCGTGCAAGCCGGGCTTCCGCGTGTGCAGCCCGCGCGCTGCCTCCTCAGAGGCTCCACGTGAGCTACGCGACACAAGCGGGGCCGTGTGCGCCGACGTTGGCGCGTGAGCTGCCCGCGTACGGTCGCGCGTAAGCGCCTTCGTCTCCAATGAGGCGTTCCGCGCTGGCGGCCTGCGTACGCCACCGCGTAAGGTCGCTTTGCCATCTCGCGTAAGACCCGTCGTCGCTCACATGCGAATCGAGCCGTGTGTGTATGTGTGTGTGTGTGTGTGTGTGCGTGTGTGCGTGTGTGCGTGTGTGTTTGTGTGTGTGTGTGTGTGTGTGCGTGCGTGCGTGCGTGCGTGCGTGCGTGCGTGCGTGCGTGCGTGCGTGCGTGCGTGCGTGCGTGCGTGCGCGTGCCGGTTGCCTGGTCGCAGACAAAGACAGTCGGCGTGTTGTAGCCGTGCAGGGGATTGTAGCACAACCGCCCTCCTGGCACGTCCGCGATCTGCAGCTGCACGGAATTGTAGAAATAGATCGCCCACAGCTCTTGCGTCCAGAAGCTTGCGCGCCTTGGCCATTCTAGGTGGACCGCTCATTCGAGTCGCTGCACGAGTCGGAGCCGCCATTCATGTGTGGGGGGGTCCAATGTCCTCGGGCTGCTGTGCACGCGCGCCCCCGCCTGCAAATGCCTTTTCCCTTACCCCGCTCCAGTGTCGCTGCGCTGTGCCGTGAGAATCCACTGGGCCTCGCGCGCATTTGTGTGTTGAAACTTGGTATCGCTCGGACGTGTGCATTTTTCCTGCGGCGAGGACCATCGAGGAGCATTCTTGATCAATTGGCGAAAAAACCACGCACGAAACTGAAATAAGCACAGGGAATGGACGTCCGAGCGATGGCCAGAGAAATGTTTCCTTGGCAGGGTTATCCGCCACCAATTTCGGCGGGGGAGAGGCCTCGCATGCAACCGATGTTGGGTGATGGCGATGGCGAAGTCGATGATGGGTAGGCGTGGTTCGATTTTAGTATCCACGTGCGGTACGAGATATTGTGCATCACGCTCCCAACCCGCCCCCCCTCCGCTTCCTTGTACAACAGCCGGGGCGTTGGATTCGTGGGTATCTTCCCCGTCGCCACTCGCCGCCCCCCCTCCCTTCGATCCACCGACCCTTCCCCAAGGGCTGGCTCTCCCCCCCGAGCCGTATTCTGACGGCCCTGGGGGCCCAGCGGGGTCCCCCAGCACGCAGAACAACGCACTACCACAGAAGCCTGCCCCTCAGGAGGAGAAGGAGGAGGAGGAGACCAACGAGGAAATCGAGCGAGGAGAACGATTGATTTTGCATCAAAGCATTGGAGGTCTGGGCCCCTTGTTCGCTGCCCGCCGCTTGCCACGCGGTCGTCCCAGCTCGCCCCGTTCTCTCGCCGGGGCGCGGCGCTCCTCTGGCCGGGGCCGCGGGCGCCGAGGTGCGAGGCGCCCCACGCCGAGGAGGAGCCCGCGCCAAGGGAGGAGGCTCCCAGGCTCCGGGCTCCGGGATCTCCAGGCCCGAGGTCCGAGGTCCGAGGGTGAGGGGTCCGAGGGGCCGACGGTTCGGAGGTCGAGGAAGTCCGACGGTTCGGGGGTCGAGGAGGTCCGATAGGGTCGAGGCTCCGTCCGCACATGCCCCGCCGCCGGCCGCGAGGCTCGCCCTACACAGCGCCGGGCGGGGCGCCGCGCGCCCTGCCCGCGGCGGCCCCCCCGGGGGAGGCCATGCAGGGCCGGCC